GTCAGGCAGGCAGGCAGGCCAGGGGCAGGTGGGACCCTCCATGCCCTCCTGGAGGGGGCCCAGCTCCTGGGTGGCCTATCCCTCTCTGACCCCTCATTTTGGAGCAAGGTTACCAGCCTGCTGCCACCCCAGGGGCATGGGTGAATCAAAGAGTGAGGCCTGGGAACTGTGTCGGTAACTGTGACTGGCCAAGGCCAGAAAGCAGCCCCATTTACCACTGCCTGCTGCCCATGCCCCGGCCCCCAGCCTCCAGCCCAGAGCTCATCCAGCAAAGGTGCCCCCAGGGAGGCCCCCAGACCTTTGCAGGAGGAGAGACGAGGCCCCCTGAGTGGGGGACTGCAAGATTTGCCCTGGCAGAGCACGCTGGCCCCCTCCAACAAGGCCCTGGGGCCCCAGTGGGGTCTGGTGCCTCCACAGCCTGGAGGCTGGAGGGAAAGCCACCTGCTGGTACCCTGGCTCCCGTGCACTCCTTGGGTCAGGCCCAGGAGCCCTGCACACACATGTAGGCACTTGTGGCCGCCGAGGGCCGGGCGTGTCCTAATTAGCCCACTATCTTGGGAGCTCTTGTTGAAAGCAAAACAAACCAAAAAAGTCCTGGTTTGGCCGGGGTCCCTCCCTGCGGCTTCCGGGGGCCTCTGGTTTTGGGAGACCCTGGGCTCCTGTGCAGGCCTGGGTTAGGTCTGGGGTTTCCCACTTCAGCAGCTTGACCCCGGGCAGGAGCCAGGTCCCAGGTAAAGCTCTGTGTCCCCAGGCAGGAAAAGTAAGACCAGAGTCCTCTGAGCCAGGTGGAGGGGCCACTGGAAGACGCCTGGGGAGGCCTAAGTGGGAGGACAGCGACCCAGAAAGCCCCCCACACTTCCCAGACACTCAAAGCTGCAGCTGCAAAACCTCTGCCACCCACGGGGGTTGTGACAGACACGGTAACCACAGTCAGGGAGCAGAGGACAGTGTCCCCTGGGTACAAGGACAGGCCAGGTGTCCCTGGGCTGGAGGGGGCTTTGGAGGCCCACACCCCGTGTCATTGAGCGTGAGGATCAGAGAGAACCAAAGGGAGAGGCCAACATCGGGGCCCTGCCCAGGCGGCTCTGCTGAGGAGGGGGGTGCCAAGAGGGCTTCAGGCCTGCCGTCCCGACACTTCGCCACGAATCAGAATTTGCACACAGGGCCGCCTGCTGCGATGGCCCGGCTCGCTCCCGCTGGGCTGTGCTGGGCACAAAGACTCCATCAGCTCCTCTCCTCTCGGCTCAATGACTAATGCCTTGGCATCGTCTTCAGATCGTTCAAGAATGTGGACAAGTTAAAATATGAACCACGTTGTCGTGGGTCTGCGTCCTGCTTCTCCCAAACAAGGGAGGCTCAGGCTCTGCCCCGCTGCGGTCCTGGTCTCAGGGATGGAGCAGGACGGGAGTTGGGGGATGCTTCAGCCTGCCCTCGCCTGCTGTCCTGACCTCAGAGGCCTCAGCCGGGCAGTTCTCCGACCCAGGAGGCTCAGATGAGTCAGGGGTGGGGAAGTCCTGCCGCCCCAAAGCCAGCCTAGGCCCGAACAGGGAAGCCCCTTCCAGAAAGGCCACCGCTGGTCACCTGGAAGAGAGAGGGCACCATGGAGAGGGGAGGGTGGGCAGGCTGGCACCAAGCACCCAGTGGTGGGAGGGGCCGGCTCACGTCCCATACTCCCTCCTGGACAGCTGGGCGGGGGAGCTGTCCGCTGGGCGGGGGAGCTGTCCGCTGGGCGGGGGGAGCTGTCCGCTGGTCACCAGCTCACTTGCTCAGCGAGCCTCTCGAGCAGCCTCTGTAATGACAGCACCGACTGAGGGGGAACCACGTGTGTCATTCTGCTTTTCCTAGTAGCCGAATCCAAAAAGGTGTAAAGGAAATGGTGGAAGGCGTTTAGTTATTTCCCGTATCTCCCCCAGCGGTGGCAGTTCCAGTCTGTAATCAGTAGGAAATGATGACTGAGGCGTTTCCGTTCTTTCTGTGGCCCGGAGCCCTTGGAAGTGGGGTGCGCTCACACACTCGGCTCAGCTCCGTCCCCACTTCACGCGCTCCCTCGTGTGGCCAGTGGCCCCTTTATCCAGAGCCCCTGGAGGCTCCCGGCCCAGTAGGGGACTCAGAGGTTTTGGGGTACATGTGAGCCTACCCTGCCAGAGGATGGCTGTTAAGATGCTCCGACAGGGTGACGAGAGAGAACGCCTGAAGCCCAGGGGCTGCTCCTGCCAGTGTGGCCAGGGCTGAACCCTCGGACCAGTGACCTCTGAGCCCAGACAGGGCTGGGGAGAAGGAGTCCTGTGCAGAGCAGCAGTGGAGGCCCCAGGCGGGGCTGTGGGCCTGCGGTCAGGAGCGTGTCTCGGGCACCTCGGGGGCGTCTTGGGCCTTGGTGAGGAGTCTGGGAGCCGGGGACTCCAGGGAAGGGCCTGTGCTGCGCGTCTAGAGCTTGGCACTGCCCCGTGTCACCCCAACCTCCCACATGTGTGGCCGAGGCAGGGCCCATCCTTTCTGGAAGGAGCCTGCTGGCAGCTCACCGGTGCCCAGCCAGCCAGGAGGAGCAGGAGGGGCTGTTCTACACCTTTCTCTGAGGGGGGCAGCGGCTGCTTCCCCAGAGCCCGTCACAATAGCCCAGGAGCCAGGAGAGGTGAGGGTCACCCCTCCCTGGGATATGATGCTTTATTTTGTGTGGTTTTGTTTTTTTAGACAAAGTCTTGTCCTATCTCCCAGGCTGGAGGGCGGTGGTGTGATCTTGGCTTTCTGCAGCCTCAGATTCCTGGGCTCAAGAGATCCTGCCGCCTCGGCCCCCGAAGTGCTGGAGTTACAGGTGTCCCCCCCTTGATGTTTTTCAGTTGGCACCCTGTCTCCAAGGCCCATCCACGCGGCAGCATGTGGGAGCTTCCTTCTGTCTTATGACGGAGTGAGAGGCCATTGTAGACACCTGTTTCTTTCTTGGTTTCCTGGTCCGTGGACCCCAGGCTCCTGGGAAGGACCCGTGGTGCAGGGAGTTCGGAAGGTGGTGGGGAGTGTGGCAGAGCCAGGAAGGAGGCCGCAGTGGTACCGGAGAGGGGGCAGGTCCTGTGCTGTGGGGGGTCCCCATTCCATTGGTTGGTGGGCTCCCCAGGTTGACAGCTCATGGCCAGCTGAATGGTTCCAGATGATGGCAGCTTCGGCCAAGACCTCGTCGTGCCAAGGCCCTTGCAGTAGAGCCAGGGCACGGGTCGGACCTGGCAGCTCAGGCCTGCTGGGGGTTGTCGGCCGTCCTGGGCTAGAGCGCCCAGGGAAACTGCCTGCTTGGCCTGTGGTGGCCCTGGGAACAGTGACGATGGCTTTGATGAGCGCAAGTCCTCTGCCTCCTGCCCCTCCAGCATCCCAGCCTGAGCTGCCTCCATGTTGCAAAGCACTCAGTGGAGGACTCAGTAGAGGACTCAGAGGGGACCAAATCTCTGGACTTGCCTGGCGTCCTCCTCCCTCAGATGCCAGAGGGGCTGGAGGCCTGGGGTCCTCGTCAGGGACCTCAGTGGATGTGCGCCCTTAGACTTGCAGAGCCCAGGGCCTCTAGGTCACTAAGCCCAGCCTCCGCTGATGGAGGAGGCCGAGGTGCAGGGAGGGGCTGAGCTGGGGGTGCCGGCCTGGCCCCTGCACCCTCGTATGTGGGGGATGCACCTTTGTTTCTTGGCCTGGAGGAGGCAGGCCGGTGGGAGCAGAGCATGCGCTCACAGCACGCCACAACTTCTCTGAAGAGGGGCACAGGGCAGAGGGACCCCCCCACACACCTGGCTCTGCCCCTCCCTGCCCTGCAATCCCAGTTCACCACCTGGGGTTCTCAGCCTGTGCCCTGCTGACTGCTGATGACCTCTGTGCTGTCTGCTGGGGCCACTGGATCACCTGGGGCTAATCATCTTCCCAGCCCCGTACCTCAGTTTCCTCATTGCAAAATAGAGACAACCACGGTGGCCACCACAGGCGGGGGGAGAGGGGTAGAGGGGTTTGTTCGAATTACACCTCTGGCGTCACAGGGAAAGAGCTGTTTACATATCTGCAGGGAGACGGTGGTGCAGCGCTCTGTGTCACCCTCCAGCACCCCCCACCCCGGATTTGGAAGGAGGGTCTTCCCTTCAAGTGAGGCTGCCCTGCCCTGGGTCTGAGACACCAAGACCGGGCCAGCACTGCTCCCTCATCTGGGACCTCCCCTAAGCTCCTGGCAGACGCTGATCCATGCCAGGGTCTGGGGCCCCACCGAGGGTGGTGCAGGGGACACACCCACAGGGGTTCCTGTTCCTTGGTGTGTGGTCCTGGTGGGGGAGCTGCGGGTGGGGGCCCAGCAAGAGAACCCCGGGCCAGGGGGCAGCAGGGGTGGGGCTTCGCCAGCCCCTGAGAGTGGAGCTGCCTTTCCAGTAGGGCCGTCCGCTGGGAGATGAGGCCGCCCACATGGGAAAACAGGGCCCAGCCACTGACCAGGAGCCCCCACCGTATCCCACCACCTGGAGGGCCGGACCTAGCGAGGGCCCAGATCTGGTCCCCAGCACCTCAAGGTGCCCACGCACCCCAAGCTGGATGTGCACACTCTGCACTCAGGGCCCATCTGTGCCCAACCCGCCTCCACCACTGCCTGGCTCCCTGGGTCTGGAGCTCTCTACTCTGAGCTGTGAGGTCCAGACCCCGATGTGGGCCCGGAGCATGCAGCGGAGCCCAAGTGGGCATCCGGGCCTGGGAGCCTCCCCCCCACCCCGACGCCTCCCCTCCAGGTGTGCAAAGAGTGGATTCCACCCCATCAACGGCTGGGTGGATCCCCAGAAACCCTGGCACCGGGAGGCTGATGGAGGGGAGGGCGAGGTGAATTTGTCAGTTTATCCCAACGCAAGTAGTGGCCTGTTGGGATGGGGGGGGAGACCCGAGGAAATATTTGGGATGACTGGAGCCGCTGGCCCTTTAAGGCTCCTGTAACAGGACACCTCCCAGACGGGACAGGAGGACTGACTGTGTGTTTCCCCTCCCTCCTCCCTCTCCCGCGCCAGGCCCAGTTCAATTTGCTGAGCAGCACCATGGACCAGATGGGCAGCCGCGCGGCCTCGGCCAGCCCCTACACCCCGGAGCATGCTGCCAGCGTGCCCACCCACTCGCCCTATGCGCAGCCCAGCTCCACCTTCGACACCATGTCGCCGGCACCTGTCATCCCCTCCAACACCGACTACCCCGGGCCCCACCACTTCGAGGTCACTTTCCAGCAGTCCAGCACAGCCAAGTCGGCCACCTGGACGGTGAGTTCCCCTACTCCCTGCCCGCTGCGGGCTGCGGGCTGCGGGCTGGAGAGGAGGTGGCCGCGTTTCCCGTACCTCAGGAGGCCGAGCTCGCCCCACCGTCTGCTCGGGGGTTCCCACCTGGCCAGGGCCAGGAGGAGCATCAGGCAGGAGGCGGGTCTCAGGGCTGGGCAGTCTGGGTGTGCCCACCCCTCTGGATGTGAGCGGCCAGAGCCAGCCAGCCTCCAAAGGGCCCCAGAGGGGACGGACTTGGCCCCGCTGGTGAGGTCTCTGCCAAGGTTGGCCAGCGGCTTCCCTGTGCTCCGGTGGGGGCTTTGATTTGAAATCCTGTCCTGGGCAGAGGCAGGGGCTCTGCTGCCAAGCGTTGTGTCCGAGGCCGGCCCTGGGGTCTGCAGAGCCTGCCTCTTCCACGCAGCAAGGCGCATCTGCGGGTGGGTGGATTTGGGCACTGACCCTGGAGGGTCATTTCCATGCGGTGTGTGGATTTGGGCTTTGCCGGCACTGTCCCTGGAGTGTCATTTCCAAGAATTGGCATGTGCCAAGTAGATGGGGTGGAGCCACAGCGCTCACTTCGGTGCCCCTGGGACGGCCAGGCCCGCCCTGGGGATCTCGATACCTCTGATAACATCACCTGTGCACACAGACAGTCTCCTCAAGCCAGGCACCCTGCTCGGGGCGCTGGGTTTAGCTAACTCCTGCACCCACCAGCAGCCCACAGGGCTGACTCCATCACTTACCATTTCACAGCCAAGGAGGCTGAGGCGCGGGGAGGGAAGCGGTTCACCCAGAATTATGCTGATAGTATGTGGGGGCAGCCGCCTCTGCATCTGGGCTCCTGACCACCAGGCAGCCCAGATGGCTTCTGGGGAGGGGGAGTCAGGAGGGGCGAGGTGAAGGCTGCTCGACCGCAGCCAGGAGTGGAGAGCACTCAGGGGCTGGGCGGGAAAGGCAGCCCCAAGGGCTTTCCGAGTCTCCCTACACGGAGGCAGGGAAAGTTAGTCCTGCCCGGCACTCAGCCATGGCTGCAGGAAGGGCTCAATGGGACACCTGGCTGGCCCAGCCTGCTGGGCAGCGTCCCCTCCCCCACAAGGCCCCACCTCCCCCAGCACAGCTCGGTGCTGGCCCCTGAAGTCCGTGCAGGAGGCTGCATTCCCACCCACTGTGGGGGGTGCTGAGCAAGGGCCCCTCAGGGTTTTCCGCTTTAAGAACTGGGTCCCACCGCCCTGCTGGCCATAGCTGCAGTTTTCCCACGCTCCTGGAGGGCTGAGGGGCAGGGCGGAGCCTAAGGTAGCCCGTCAGGCTCTGCAGGTGCCTGGACAGTCCTGCCAGGCTGGTCTGGGGTCTGGGGTCTGGGCCCCGCCCACTCCCACCTGTGGCTGTTTCCGATTCTGACTCCAGCCATGGGATCCCCCAGCTGCTGGCTCTGTGCTATGAGAAGGCTTAGCCCACACTGCCCCGGCTTGATGGGGAGGGGCTCTGTGGGCTGAAGGGTTCAGGGCAGAGGATCTGGTGTCTCCTCCAGGGCTTCCCACCCCCCCTGGCAGGTACTGCAGACCCCGGCCCTAACGCCCCATTTCTCTGCTTGGACCTTGCTCCTCCACGCTCCTTACCGCGCAGTGGCGACGGAAGGAAAGTGGTGCGGGTGCCGGAGCCAGCACAGCGCTCAGCTCGCAGCAGGAGCCCGTGCGTCATCTTAATTGTGGTGGCAGTGGGCGTGCTGGTTTGGGCCTCCCAAGTGAGTGGTTCTGGGCACTTGCGCTCGCCTGTGGGCAAGGGGGCCAGGACTATCCCTCCACCTCTCAGGTGGCCAGTGGGGCCACCTAAAGCCAACTCAGAGAGCCCCAGGCGTCCTCACCTGCACACCTCCAGCACCGCTTCTCCCCAGGCTCAGGCTTGTTCCCCGAGTCCACTCTCTCCTCTCTAAGGACACTGACCTCCTGCCCTGGGGTTTTCGAGGCTGGCGGTTTCTGGAGAGTGTCGCCTTGGAGCCCTGGCAGGTAGCTTGTGGGAGCTCTGCCACCCTTCCTCCCAAGGTCTGGGGATGCAGATGGGGTCTTCACCGTTCTTGGAATGTGCTACAGGTGTCCAGGTTGATCTGTGGAGGGACAAGAGCCACTCCTTCTGCCGGCTGGCTGCCCCACTGGGGTGTCTGCCACCCCCAACCCCGCCAGGTGTGTGGCATCAGGTTTCAAGGGACTTCATGGTTTTGTCTCAAATGCCTTGCCCTGCGGGACGGGGTAGTCTGCTCAGACCAGGCGTCCAGGGCTGGTCAGCTGCACTGGGGGGAGGGGGAGGCTCTGTCTGGCAGCCAGCAGAGGAGCAGCAGACGGGCTCTGTGAGTGCTGGGAGTGGGGTGCACCTGGGGCTCCACCTCCACTGCCCTGTGCATGTGGGGGGGTGGAAGTGGGACAAATGTTGATAATGAGATTTTTGGCACCTCAGCTCTCTGGGGGCAGAACCCCCTCCACGAGGCTTCTTCCCTTGCCCAGGGAGGGGTAGGCAGGCAGTCAGCGCTCAGTGGAGGACGGGGCCACCGAGCAGGCCACTTGCTCTCAGCTCTGGGGTCCCTCTGTGCGGGTGCTGCCCAGACCTGCCACATGGGCTTGCGTCCGGCCTCTGAGCTGTGGCTCCCTGGGCCCCGGCACGCCAGCCGGTTGCTAACTGATAGATAATTCATATTTTTGTCAAGTACAATTCCACAGTGGCTACTGCCCCCGTTCTTTTTCCCCAATCAGGAAAAACACCCTCACCAGACCCCAAGTGACCACAGCTGCTAATGGGGTCTTTGGCCTCTGCTTTGCTGAGGCCCACGGTGGCTCTCCCCAACCCCAGGGGGGCCATCTGTCCTGACCAGCTTCCCACAGACCTCAGATCTCCTTGAGCACTAAGGGCTGTGGAGGGCTCTGTGTTTCCCAGGCCTGCGTGCGCATGTGTGCACACACAGACAGGGTCACCCGCCCACATGCATGCACACGTGTGGATACACAAGCACATTATGCACACACAGGCACATGTCAACACACAGGCACGCATGGGCATGCACAGGCCTCCCCGGTCACTGCCCAGGGTTCTAGCAGCTCCCACACCACGAAAAGCCCGGAGGAGGAGGAGGGGGGTCCTGGGTGACCGAGCAGCTGGAGAAAGGATTCGTGTTTAGCCATGAGAGTGTAACCAGTGCCCAGTGACAGGGCAAGGCCAGCGTTTGGTGGGAGGGGCGGAGCCAGCACCTGCTGGGGTCCCGATGGCGGATATCTGCCCATGAGCACCTGCTGCTTGATGCCTCTGCCCTGATGTCCTCCCCTGCAAAGAGAGGGATGGACTGCCAGCCATGGTGGAGACAAAGGAACTGGCTCTTGGGACTTCTTGGGGCAGGGCAGGGTGCCTGGGGAGCGCTCCACTCATGTGGGCTGTTTGGAGTGTGGTGGCCCTTCTCCCAGTTCAACACCCTCTGCGGGACAGTGTGGAGTCCGAGCACGGGCAGAGCCGTCTGCAGGGCATGGTCTGGCCTCAGAGCACTGCTGGCCACTCCTGTCCTGGGAGCCCCAAGGGTTGGCAATGGCACAGACAGCTGGTTCCAGGAGTCCCTTGGGGCAGAGAATGAACAGGAGTTCCTCCAGCTGTTGGAACAGCCCAATGCGATAGTCCTCGGACGCTGTGACGCCCTGACTCAGACTCATCAGGGAAGGTGGCTGTCCTGGGTGTTCAGGAAGTTTGGGGCCGGGGCCCTGAGGTCGGGCAAGAAGGCTTTGTGTGGTTGGAAGGCCTGGCCCAGCACAGCATCTGCGGGCACCTCAGGCCGTGCTGAGTGACACCACCCACAGCCCCTGAGGCAGGCTACCCTGGCAGGATAGTGAGGACACACACAGGTGGGATGGCCAGCTGCCCCAGCATCCCCTAGACAGAAGACGGCCTGACGCAGCCCCCTGAGTGCCAGCTGCCCGCAGACCCGGTGTCTGTGTGCGTGTGTGCACATGTCCGTCTTGGGGGAGCTCTGGCTCCACGTGTAGGAAAGCCCCCGCTCCCAGAGGGACATGTGGAAGGCCGGCCAGGGAAGCACAAAGGCTCTGGGCGGGATTCCTGGGGAGAATGAGGCTGAGTCAACGCTAATGGGTCTGGAGCAACCTTCCCAGCGCCTCGGAGGCTTGCGAGCAGGGGAATAATAGCGGAGGTGTCCCAACATGACCGTGGTATCAATTGCGTTATCCTAAAAGTTTATGGAATGCATGAGTGGAATTAATACCTTTTACTGGCACCAGGAGCAATTATATGTGCGTAAAGCTGAGGGAAGAGTTCTAACAATGTTTATTGTGGAGATGAAATGTGGATTATTAGGGGAAGCTGGAGTACTTGGAGCGAATTGCAGCATTTGCTTGTATCGTGCGGCACAGGGAGGCGCCTCCAGCCTCTGGCTGTGGTCAGTGCCCCGGGCTCGTGGCCCCGAGATGGGGTCGGCTCTTCTCTCTACACTTACTGGAGCAGCCAGAGGAACTCACTCCTGGGCCCTGAAGGTCACAGAACTTGGCCTTGGAGGCCCCGAGTGAGGCTGGGGGGGCCCCAGCTCTGAGCCCCTGGGTCCTGCTGCCCCCACCCAACACTGCCTGGCTCTTGGAGAAGGAGGGAGGACCCCTTGGGGGATAAGTTTCCTTCTGTAGGCGTGCAACTGTGGGGGGAGAGGCATGAGCCAATTTGTGTTCTAGGAAGAATCGTCTCTTTCCTGGGACTTGTTTCCGGTTTGGGGACAGCCCATGGACCTGGCACGTCCGATTAGTAGCATTGGCAGCAACACTGCCCTGTGTGCAGGGCCTCCCGCTCTCCTCGTTTTACAGATGAAGAAACTGAGGCTCCCAGAGGGCACGCCAAGGTCACCTGTCCCTCCCAGGCCTGGCTCCAGCAGCCCGACCCCTGACCTTGCTCTTGCAGCCCATGCGGTGGCCCCCCCGGCCCCTCAGGTCCCTGCACAGCTCCAGCTTCCCCTGCCCCCTCCCCCACCCTCTGCTCCC